TCCACACCCTCGACCTACCATCAGCAAATCGAAGATTAAATCGGGATTCATCACTGAAGACGACTTGAGTCCATCGTAAGTGTCGCTGTGCCCACAACTGACGTTGACGTCTGAGTAATTTAGTCAGAATCGGCCCGCAGTATGGCCGTCGTGCTTGAAGGTGAGCAGTTCTCAGACGGTTTCGAACAGTTTGCGCACTCAGTCTACCCCTAAATAGTTCATTTCTGGTTGATGTAGCCGTCAAAAATCGGTCACGGAGGTGACGTAAGACAATCTGACGATCCTCTGCATGTGACGTCGACCTGGCCGAGGGAGATCAGCGGTGGTACCCGTTTGCGTCTGTAAATCATAAACTGTCCGTCGACTACAACCAATCGTCCTTGCGACTTCAGCTACGGACATTCCCGTCTGCAACATGCCGATGGCACGTTCACGTTGCACATTTGAAAGGCGTGGCATGACAAATGGCCGTAAAGGCTTTTGTTTTCTTGTGTTTTTTCTTTTTTTGTTAATGACTGCTAACAAGTATGGCTGAAAACACGTGCGGTATTATGGCCACGTGACCAGTTGCACGTGAAAAACCACTTTTGCCACTATAGTGCTGTGCACATGATTTTGATTGATTCACCTGCACAAAAACGGGTATGTATGTATGTATGTATGTATATAAATAAAAATAGTTTATTGCAATAACCGAAACTGACGAGCAAAAGACACGTTACCAACCAACACTGTTCCTAAAACAGAACAGGACCAATGTCAAGGAAGATGGCCTAAAGTGAATACCCTATATTGCAGTTTTAGATGCATCAGTTGTGAGGATGAAGGGTTTGTTTAGGTCGGGTTATGCAAGGATGGGGGCCGTTGTGAGGGCTTTAGCTTTTCGATTGCCTGTTGGCAATTGTTGGACCATTTAAAAGATGCGTCTTTTTCAGGAGGTTGTAGAGAGGGGAGGCGATGTCAGAAAAGGTTTGCTTACAAGTTTGCGATAATACGAGGCCAAACCTAAGAAATGACGCATGTCATGGACATTTTTAAGGGCTGGGATCTGTGTGACTGAATCTGAAGGAGCGACATGGATGCCATCTTTGCTGAAGATATGCCCTATATGTAGGTGATTTGTTTTGTCGCAAATTAACATTTGCTTGGTTTTAGAGTGAGTCCTGCTTCTTTGATCTCTTTGGAATACTTCCTTTGATTGATTAAATGTTCTAAAAACGTTTTAGAAAAGACATATGCTGAAGACATATTCTAACCCGGACCTTCATGGGTTCATCATCGATGGTAAGAATATATGGTTGTATCTGATGAGTGTGTAAAAGTTAGATTTGGAGACTAAGTAGACCCGGGTGCGACAAAATGTTTCCTTCAGAGCTACCCAGATCCAGATTTGCGCATTGTGAACACTTTAATTTGGTACCAGGACATGACGAGAGACCTATAAGACGAGATCTATACTGAAACGTCGCATTTTACAGTATTAAAGAAGTTGTTATCCATAAAATTGAGTCTATCTTGTCATCCGTCAACTTCTATGTCAGCATATGTTTATATTTTGTGTAATGAATGTTTTACAATTGTTTCAGGGTTCAAAACATTTATCAGTAATAAACTTGGCTATAATTCGAACAACACCTGCGTCTGTCCTTCATGTCAAGAAGCAGTCCCGGTTTCATGCCTATCAAACAATTTATTAATTTAGAGTCTTGTTCATAAATTAGCTGGAATAATTAATATCAGTGTTTGCTGGTATCTATGAAATTTGATGATGTACGTAGGTCTCTACCAAGGCGCCCCTGAAAACATTCCGGTTTCGTGATTTCATAGATGCCGTGAGTGTACACATCGCACCACTTTGTTCAATCCAGGCGAAGCAAAGAATTTAAACTCCAGCATCGATGCAAAGTTAATATTCAAGACTTCAGCATGATACAAAAATACGAAGAAACTGTCGAATGCTTGCTTAATGTTCGGATTGCGTATTATATCCAACACATTCGATAAGTGAGCTCAATGACGTTCGAATAGCCCGCCAATTTCCATGAGACAACGACAGGTGGCGCTCATTCATCATCGCTGAAACTCCCTCCCTTGCTCAAACGTTACCTAAAATTGAACCAATCTGCGCATGTGGCCTAAATATTTGACCGACTTTAATATAAGTTTTCAGACCATATATGGTGAGTATTAGACTTTTAAGCAGATTTGAAGTAAAAACAATCATTTATTTGTATTTCACTTCTCTCAGAACGGACAAAAGACAGCGAGATTGGTTGTTATCTTCTTTCAAAGAAGGGCTCTGTCAACAGTGCTCCATTGTTCTTTATCGGAAGACCGCCATTTTGTGAGTTGACAATTCACTTTTCGGTGTATGCAACAGTGATCGCAGTGTCAGGTCGTCAAAAAAGAAATGTTGCAGGAGTAGATTGTATGTCCAGGTGACGTCTAAGCTATAAAATGGCATGTTTCCGCTCCCCCCATTTACACTACAGACGATGTTGAAACTCGTATGTCAATATCCTTGCGCGCGCAGGTTCATGTACAGCGCAGTCGCAAATGTGTATCTGTCAAATTTCGTCTACAGATGAACCGTACTGCGCATTGAGTAAGAGCTGTAATGCCTGCTAGAACGTATATTCAAAGTAATTAAATATGAACAGAAAGTACAGCGATTTGAACTGTAAAAGCACACAACGAATATTTTATTCTTTAACCAAATGTCCCTATCGCGAAAATCATTATAGAAACTCCATTGCATGTGCTTGCTATGCTTTCAATAGATCAAAGTCTGAACAGGGGAAAACTTGGGATGTTTTATTGGCATTGCCCCAGATATCCCATTTTACAAATGCATCTGGATAGGAAGAAATATTTGTGGAAATTTAGGATAGATATATATGTAAATAGATCTGGTACTACTTATGGTAGTTAATTATACCAAACACTAAGAAGTCGAAACTCAGCTCAACATTACCATTAATATGAATTGACAAAGTTCCCAACTTATTGTAAAGAAATTAAAGATCCACATAGATCTACTGAAATATTTATCATGTTATTCATGTTAAACTGTCTGATGTGATAGATATGCCATGTATAATGGCTTGAAGGCAAATAAAAAGCAAACAAAAACAAATTAATGAAGGGGTGGAAAGTTCAGTATTGATAAATCAACCAAAGAATATCATATATTGATAATTAATATCAAAATTACTCACCCTGTACATGTCTAGGTAAAAATTAACAAACTTATGCAAAGTATGAATTTGACTAATCCATAAGTATGTTTAAAATTGAATTTTCTGCCATCTGATTTGGTAATCAAACAAATGTAAATGTTTCTGTGTCAGTGAATTAATTTAGTATCTATATTTATAAATTTGTATCTGTTAAGTATGAACATTAAAAAAATATTGATATATCAATATACAATGACACACCTAATTTAATGCAATTGGACCTTAAATATTAAAATATGTTTTTAAGGCCAAACAAGATGTTTTTCATTAGAAATGAAATGTTGTGTTTGACATTTTTTATATATTGTAGTTTTAAATTATGCGGTGTAATCAAGTTATTTTTGGAGGAAATAGTTATGCAAAATGAAACAAATGAAGAACAAGGAGATTTCCTTTTTTAACAATTATTCAAATTCTTGAGTTGTATGCTTTAATATATATATTTTATAACACACACAGCCAACAAGACATGAGCTTTTTATTGAAGGTGTATTGTAAATGATTAGGACATACAGTGCATGTGGTCAATAATAAACACATATAAGTTGTTTAGGAATTTAACCAAGCTGTTATTCCTTTTGCCCTTGAAGCAGGAAGGTATCTTTGGTTCTCTTCCAGTGAAAAGTTTTCAAAATCTTGGAAATTTGGCATGTGCAAGTACTTTAAGTTCATTTAGTCCTTTCATTTCTCGTAATAAAATCTCTCTATCTGTCTAGTGCTATTATCATGATGTAACCGAGGCTTGAAAGGTGTATCATGTCGCCCCTACCTGCTAATTTTTGTTTGTTGTTTACGCTGCAAACAACAATGTTCCAGCTGAAGGAAGGCAGTCTATAAATATTTGAGTCTGGACCAGACAATCCATGAGCATCAATCTACGCGACTGTAATACAAAGACTTGCATCAACCAAGTCAGCAAGCCTGACCACCTTATCCCGTTGGTTACCTCTTACAACAAGCATGGGTTCCTGAAGACCTATTCTATCCCGGATCTTTACGGGTAACCAGCATTAGAAATTGGCACTAGTCCTGTAGTCCTTTCCAAACTGCCCAATAGTTATAAGGACTAGTAGATGTGACATATTTGTTATTATATAATATGAGGGATAGGATTTAGTGTCGACTGTTTACTCCCTGTCACAATTCTGGGTAAGAATAGGTCAACCAATGCTGGCTGTAAGATATGACACTATGGATTGGGAGGTCAGATTCCAGACTTGGCTGATTGCATGTCATGGTAATCCGACGGTTTTTGCTCATTTCAATCGATTATCTGGTCCGTACTTCACTATTTACAGGTTGGGGCGATACAGCTGGAATATTGCTGAATGTGATGTAAGAACAAACAAACAAAAAGATTTGGGGGACATTGGTGTCCCATGCCAAGATAGTCAGTTCAAATTTCATATTGATCATGATTATTATCCTTCATTTCTCAGCGTGCCCGTTGGCCTTTGAAACTGCAGTTCTAGTGGACTGGCAGTCCCCCCTAATTTTTGCCAGTCCCAACTTTAAACAAATAAAAGAATGTATGAAAATTACCTGTTTTTAATTATTTCAACATAATGTTCAGTGCAAAGACATTATCTCTGAAGTAACCTAATTAGATCCATACATCATTTACACTAACTTCAGTCACAATTTTCTCCCTTTTTTAAATATTTCGAGACGAAGTCACTACAAATGGATATTTAACCTGAAGCAAAGCAAAATGTTATTATGCAATAAAAATAGACAAGGGGAAACCCTGATGGTAACAGACAAGCTGACTTCATTCTAAAAATGTACTTATATGAATATCACCAATGTTTTGTTCAACAACAAAGATTCATAAGGTACTTTATTTGCCGGTCCACAGGGACTGGCAGTCTCATGAAATACCAGTCCAAGCCTCATTTTACCGGTAAACGGGAACACTGTTTCTCTTTCACTAACTATGAAAGGATGTAAGGAAATTCATAGGAGAACTTCATCATGAGTACAATGTTTTAACCAATAGATAGTATGTTCTCGACTTCCCATTCGTTAAACCCCATATCCTTCGTCCATATTGATCTCGCATCTATGTCAGGAAGCAAGTACAAACTATTTTTTTTTATTCCACATAACTTCCATGGTCATCTTCTGGATACGAAACCCAGCCCGATATCAAGACTGACTAGTTTTATAATACAGTACGTAAACTTGTCTGTTTCTTATTATTTTCTCATACAGAAAAGTAAAAAGTAAAATTTTTATGGTTCAGTCACTTGCTGTGTCACAACAAAATAGGTTAAAAATGGTACTTGTTGTTACTCTGCCTGGTGCTCAGCATTATCAGATTAAAGGGATAAAATAGTGACTGGTTGGTTGGGCATCTATCTTAAACTGCTGTATAAGTGCAATAATCAGGTCATTATTGCTCTTTTTCACCTTACCCAATAGGTGCAGTGGTAAAAATAACATAAATCATCAATAGATACAAAATAGTGGTAAGATATGAGCCCTCCCTTAATTTTGTGAAGATACCATTAACATTAGATGCACTTACTTGGGATAGTGGTAATTTCTATCCCTGACATGTCCTGTTGTCTCATGTAGTTTTGTGAATGTTCCACCAGGTGAGTGCACCCGCTTCATGTCACCATGAACATGAACACACAGAATCTGGCCGGGACCATCACCATCAACCCAGCCCACATCACCTCCGACATGATGAGTGACGGCATGAGTGGCCCCAGCTCGCCTGAGAGTGAACCCTTTGACCCCACAGACCTCCTGACAGCCGATGATGTCACCTCTCAACTAGCAGCCTCAGGTTTGAACTTTCAAATAAGTGAAGCATTTATTCCTCATCTTTAAACCCAAATAAATAAGGGTGGACCGATCCACTGATGCAGCATTGGAGATTGATAGGAATATGATTTTGCTGGCTAGAGTCAACAATAGTAGTCCTTGTCACATGGGTATCCAAGTCTTTATAACTTATATAACATCAGCTCACTCTGACTATACCCGGTCAGTTTGTGCATGGGCACTGTCTTTCCTCTTTCATGGAAGCTGGAAAATAAGTTAGCTGATCTTACTAATAACAAGAATCAATGGAAATTCATAGAAGCAAACCCAAACTTCTTGTCAGTGAGGAGTTTAAGTATTGTTTTCTGTGATACTGAAGTGTTCCACTGGCCAGTAGCAGATCCAGGTTTGGGGGTTTCGGAGGATCCCTAACCACCCCATTACATGTGTGATATTTTGTGTGAACATTGCCTACCATGATAACATGTCGATTTTGGTTCTAAAGGGATCCATCCCTAATTGGCTGTGATAATATTGTCCATGCATTGATTCAGGAGTTGATGTATTAACACACAGATCTGAAACAGTAATTATTGCCTCCAAGGTACAGTGCTTATGTAGATTGTATTAGTTGTAGCAGGCAATCTGGGGAGACATCAAGTATAGTCACTGAATCACTAAAAAGCAGGCTATGCCATTGTATTCAAACAGTTTAGGCCACTGTACCATGTCATAATACACACTATATCACACATAGTATCTCCTCCATGTGTATCACTGCAGGCCTACTGTTTGAATTATGACATTTGTATTGCAACTGATTTGTTGACCATGTAATTATTTCAACATTGTACAATGTTGTCGGACAACGACGTTTTCAGTTTGGTTTAGAGAAAGTCAATACCTTGTTATGTACCTTGATCTTTCTCTTAACTGGCAAACTTTCATAAGGAATGACGGATTGGCTGCTTCAGTCTCTTGTTTTGCTCTCTTCCAGGCACAGTAGGTATTGCTGCAGCGGCTGCCATAGCAACTGGTAAGAAACGAAAACGTCCACATATGTTTGAGACGAATCCCTCCAACAGGAAACGACAGCAAACTAGATTACTAAGGTAGGTTTATTCCTCCTGTACCATAGCTATACAGTATCCTGTCAAAGTTGTTGAAAACTGATGAAAGTTGATTAAATCTGACATTGTTCATTTTGATGCCAAATTATGTAATTAAGGTACCTTAAACTATTGCAGCTTGACTACATAACTATCTATTTGTACAATATTGTGACTTGCCAGGAGATCAGTGCTCATGATGTCAATCATTGGATTAGACCCGTGAAGATTCCGGGGTAGAATAGGTCTATGCTTGCCGTAAAAGGTGACTATGCTTGTCGTAAAAGGCAACTAACAGGATCGGGTGGTCAGGCTCGCTGACTTGGTTGATGCATGTCATCGATCCCAATTGCGTGGATCGATGCTCATGATATTAATCACTGGATTGTCTGGTCCAGACTCGATTATTTACAGACCGCCATCATATAGCTGGAATATTGCTGAGTGCGGCGTTAAACACCAAACCAAACCAAACCAAACCAAACCAAACCAATCATTGGATTGTCTGGTCCAGACTTGATTATTTACAGACTGCCATCGTACATAGGGAAAAAGTTTGGCATTAAACAACAAACAAACACGCCAGGAACATGCCATTTTTAGCTCACCTGACTGAAAGTCAACTGAGCCTATGCCATGGCCTGTTTGTCCAATGTCTGTCTGTCATTGATCATGCGTCGTAAACATCTTCTCCACTGAAGCCACTAGACCAATGAAGCTGAAACTTACCATACTTGTTCCCACCAATGATGATACCCCAATTTGTTCAAGAGGTTTGCATACAATTTTTAATGTCTTGACAGGATGGCTATATTGAAAATAATTCTTATGGCCATTTCTCAACCTTTATATTTCAGAATGTTATGAAATTTGATTCTTCTGTCAGTACATGTCGTACATGTAGCAGTGGGCATATAATGCAGGGGGATATAGCGATCAGCCAGTCTGTCTGTCCGTCCGTAATCATTTCCTTTTCCGAGGCAGAACTCAAAAACAGTTCAGTGTATTTGATCGAAACATTGCAAATCTATCAGTCACATACTGAACTGGTGCCTTTTGCTATTTAGGAATTTTATAAATTTTTATTTTTTACGTTTCCATGGTAACAAGTTGGACTTTGGTTCTATAAGAGTGATGTTCATTTCCAGAACATAACTCAAAAACCGTTAAATACTTCCTTACAAAACTTTGCATGTCTACCAGGCACATGTGAACTGGTGCCTTTTGCTATTTAGGAATTGTGAAAGGTTTTTTTTTACGTTTCCATGTCAACAAGTTGGACTTAGGTTCTATAGGGTAGAGCTCGTTTCCGGATCATAACTCAAAACCCATTCAAATCTTTCTAACAAAACTTTGCATGTCTCTCATGAACTGAACTGGAGCCTTTTGCTATTTAGGAGTTTTATAAATTTTTATTTTTTACATTTCCATGGCAGCAAGTTAGACTTAGGTTCTATAGGGTAGAGTTCGTTTCCGGAGCATAACTCAAAACCCATTCAAAACTTTCTTGCAAACCTTTTCATGTCTACCAGGCACATACTGAACTGGTACCTTTTGCTATTTAGGAATTTTAGAAATTTTTTATGTTTTAGTCTGTTTTCAGTTGTACAAATGGGTATCTCTCATACCCTCACGTCTAGTCGCACGTTTAATAGGAAGCCAGAAGCTGGAATGTAAACATTAAACTTGTTTCCGTCCGGTTGCACACGCACCTCCCTATGACATGTCACAAATCTCTCAGCGCGCCTCTGAGCTGGTCGCTCGAGAAAGTCTTTCGCGGTAGACTGCTAGTTTGTATTCTACTAGTTCTTATCGCTTCTCTACAGTTGTTCTAATAAAGTAATAATAATAATATGTCTTACCTGTAGACTCCTGGAATGTAATCTTTGGTAATCCAATGTTTGTGTTCAACGCTGTTTGACAGTGATTATACACGTGGCAACATGTCAGGCATTGGTGCCTCGTGTCAAAGAAAGCTGTCTAAAGTAGACCCTCACAAGTATTGTCCTTCCTGCATCATTAAGGACGGGTTTTCAACGTGTTATTGGGATAAACGTTGTAAAGAATGTGAGAACTTGTCTTCAATAAACTTTAACTTGTATCTCCGTGCGTTGGCGAAGCGGGCCGCTGACCAGCGCTACAAGCAGAGAAGGTCATCGGTTGGATCCTTGGACTCTGCACCCTCCACATCAGGCCCTGGGGGTGGCGAGTCGGCCACACCTAAGAAATCAGTTGATAAAGACCCGCCTCAGTCAACTTCTGTTTTCGACAAGACACGTGACCGTTCACCTGCTGATGATACTACCCGCACGACTGATCTTCGTCAAACGGTTGATCGAGAGCGTCACTCAGCCTCCCCTGTTATGACGGGACCGGGTGGTGACGAGGACCATGAGGGGACTACGGTCCCCAGTCGGTCCGTATCTCGTTCTACCAACGAAGATAGGGACGTCGTGCGGGAAGACAGTGGACACAGAAGTCGTTCCCGTTCAAGTCGGGACGACAGGTCGAGTGCCTCGTCGAGAGACGCCCTCGTTTCATATCGACCCGGCTTTGATAGCCCAGATCACGGCGGCTGTCCTCGCCTCGACGGCGTCGACCAAGAAGGATTTGACTGCGTCGGAGGTCCATGGACCGTCAACCACTACACCAGCTCCTTCATCTACGCCTCCACAATTGACGTCGACGATGGATTGTGACAACAGCCTCTCGGATGTCCTCGCCTAGTCCCGATAAGTATCGGGCCAGATTACTACGGCACGTCGCCATGGTTACATCGACTGCACTGAACTACCTGATCGTCATGGCAGGACACTGCAACGGGCCCCTTAGTCATCGCAACAGTTGTTTGACGTTACAGAACGAGAATGTACGTGCCTTCATGGTTGAAGATCAGTCACGTAAATTCTGACCGCCGGCCTGGGACCTCGATGTCGTTCTGCGCAACCTGTTTAGTCAGACTTACGAGCCTCTTGATCAGGTCACGTTCGACTTATGGTCTCAGAAACGTCTTTCCTTCTCTCACTGGCTACGGCAGCGAGAGTATCGGAAATACAAGCCATTGACGTCGGTCAGATTACGTTCGATCAGCGTAACCATGGCAACGTCCAATCCCAGGGGGGAATGAGCCAGCGGGGGAAGAAGTGAGGACCCTTCCCCCCGCCATCACCGTCGTTGCAGTCTCCCCCGGTGACACTACCTTTAGACGTGCTACCGGTAGGGGGGAGACTTCATCACTAAGCCCACAAGTGGGCTTTCCTCAACGACCTTTACGTTCAGAACATTTTGACAACAGGCTACGCCCCACGCCTGAGATCGACGCCACCACTGCCGTCATCCCCAACATTCCACACTCAACCAAGGGATTGGCGGACGGAGGCCATTGATTTATTGGTGGAAAAGGCGGCCGTACTTCGCCTAGGGACATCGACACCATCGCCGGGGTACTACTCGCCCATCTTTCTAGTACCCAAGAAAAACTCCACAAAGATGCGGCTTATTTTCAGTTTCAGAAAGTTCAACGCAACATACCTCCGACAACCCGACACATTCACCATGATATCCCTCAGCTCTCTGTGTCGGATGATATTACCGAACGACTTCCTCGTCTCGATAGACCTTCAGGACACGTGTCTCCATGTACCATAAGCTTCCGAGTTCCAGAAGTACCTCCGATTCGAATACCAAGGTATTCAATATCAGTGGGCGGCCGTCCCGTTTGGACTTTCTACGGCCCCGTGCATTTTCACACAGATCATGAAAACGGTCGTTGAATGGCTCGATCGGCAGGCGATCAGGGTCGCCTTCTACCTAGACGACGGGCTCCAAGCTCACCAGTTCACAGAAGCCCTTCAAGTAGAGTTAGCGACCACCCTGAGTCTACTACGGTACCTCGGGTGGATCGTCAACCTTCAAAAGTCGGACTTGGTACCAACTCGGGATCTACAGTACATCGGGATACGCTTCCAGACGGGAGTCAATCTGGTCAAGGTACCACAAGACTGTCGGGACAAGATTGTCAGCAGCATTCCGACATTTCTACATGCCCCGGCGTTGGTGCACACGTGGCAGGAAGTCCTCGGTCTGTTGACATCGGCCCAAGACCTGACTCACCGATGTCGTCTTCAACTTCGTCTGCTGCAGAGATTGCTGTACCCCCCACCTGGAGCTTCCCAACCTCCTGGTTCCACTTTCGGCGCAGCTACGTTGTCATTTGGAGTGGTGGCTCCAGCCGTCGAACGTTTGCGAAGGCGTCTTTATGAGCGAGTCTCCATTCATACTACACCTATTCGTAGACGCGTCATTGGATGGCTGGGGAGCGCACTTCGGGGACGACCAAGCGGCCAGGCTGTGGTCGATAGAAGAAAAGGTCCTCCACATCAACTGCCTCGAGATGGAAGCAGTGATTTAGGCGGTCGAGTTCTGGAAACTTTGACTCCGTCGGAAACGGCTGATGATACACTCCACTGTCGTCCACTGCATCAACCAACAGGGTTCGACTCGGTCAGCGGCCCTTCTGGACCGGACATTCAGGTTCTACGCCCTCGTCGACGACTTGGACATGGGCGTACGCGCCCGTCACATCCCGGGGGCCAAGAATGTGATAGCCGACGCCCTGTCGAGACCATAGACCACGGAGTGGATGATCCATCCGACAGTCTTTCACCTGCTTCAGTGGTCCCGTCTTCTACGGGCGACAAGCTCACTAAAGTACCGGAGTTGCAGAAGATTCTACGTGCCTACATGGTTGAAGATCAGTCACGTTAATTTCGACCGCCGGCCTGGGACCTCGATGTCGTTCTGCGCAACCTGTCTAGTCAGGCTTACGAGCCTCTCGATCAGGTCGCGTTCGACTTATTGTCTCAGAAAATGGCTTTCCTTCTCTTGCTGGCTACGGCAGCGAGAGTTTCGGAAATACATGCCATTGATGTCGGTCGGATTACGTTTGATCAGGGTAACCATGGCAACGTCAATCTTGGTCTCAGATGGGATTTTTTAGCGAA